CCTGCTGATGATTTTCCCTGTTGGGAAAAAAATGTGCTCCAAACAGAGGGGCTGCAGTGCAGGGGTGGAGACAAGAATGGCCGAGGAGACCTGCCAAGGGTTAAGAATGCACTGCCTGGGAGAAGGGAACGGGTCGGGCATGCCCTGCTCCAGAGGCCGCGGAGCCCAGGGAGCCCAGGGACGCGCCGGCAGGACTGGTGTGCGTGCTGACCCAGAAGGAACGCATCTCTTGTTTCTGGGGCTCTGAGAGCCTTCCAGCAACCTGGTGTCTTCCCACTGGGGATGTCAGGGCCACTTAATGCGAAGCTTGATCCCTGGTGGAGGGAGTCAAACATTCTTTTTCTCCGCTGCTGTGTGTCAGCTCGCATGGCGGGGTTTCTTTGTTTCCTAACTGAATCCCATCAGCGTGGCTGACTGCCTCACTGACACCAAGCGCACTGAGCTCAGAAACAAGTTTCTCAACAAGGCCGTATTCTCCGGGGCGCTAAGAAGGGCAGTGCTCACTCAGCCCCTGCAGAGAGCGAGGGAGAGGGCCTATTTATTGTTGTGTAAGAACTGCTTACAAAAACCAGGTCTCTCCCAAATCCAGATCAGAGCGACCTGGCACACAGCACCTCGTGCTGCAGACGGCAGTGCTCCCTCTGCCGAGCCTGAGCCCCGCAGCAGCCGTGCAGGTCTCCAAAGTGAAGAAGGCGGGACAGCAGGGGAGAAGCAGACACCCGCTGGGAAAGTCAGAGTCCTCATTCTTCAATGAAGAGGATGGAGGGGGAGGAGGGCGCAGGTGGCGTGATGGTTAAGGCATTAGTCTCCCACATGGCCGACTGAGGTTCAAGTGCCGGACCAGTGGCTTGAGAATCATGCCCAAAACCCAAGAGGAGAATGGACGAGAAGGGAATGCAGTGTGGCCATCCCCCCTGGGAGAAGCTGACTTCTTACTTCCCCTCTCACTGTTTCTCTCTGGCAAATGCACACATCCTATGGCAAAAGCCTAAAAAAAAAAAAGGAAGAAAAAAAGAAATGATGCGGTAAGACATGCCCTAAGGTGATGGAGAACTCAAAAACTCTATAAACCCAAGAAGAAAAATAATTCCAGGGTTAAAAGGAACACAACTCCAAACAGACCATGAGTGGGATTCCAGACCTGGTTGATGAACATCAGACAATGCCCCGCCCACAGGCAGCCTGCAGGTGGCTGACTGGCCCGAGAGTACCTGCTGCCATGGGGAAAGGACGTCCCTCCCAGACGAGTTCCCTGAGGACCCTCCGACCCTGCCCGACAGGAGTTCTGTGAGCACCCTCCAACCCTGCCCGAGAGGAGTTCCCTGAGCACCCTCTGACCCTGCCCCACAGCACAAGGTCAACCTCACCGCACTCAGATCCCTCCCCAAGGCTCGCCTAGCAGCCCACGTCTGAGGAATGCCTTCAAATTCACTAGTTGCCACAAAATCCTGGGTGCCAGAATTTTGGTAGCCAACTGGGACAGGGAAGAGGAAAAGCTCTCGTTTCAATTCCAGGTTGGAGAATTCTAGGCCAAGATTCCAAGTGTGAAAACATGAGTTCTTTTCCCTGGGTTCCTTCGCATTATTGGGGCGTCGGGAAAGTCATGATACGTTTTTGTATAGAAAAACATTTAAAAATATGTCATGACTTTCCCAACAACCTAATAACTGGTCCCAGAGTTCCCACAGACCCCTCTGCAGCCTGTGAGCTCAAAGGGACGCCACCATTCTCTAGCAAATCACTGGAGACTGCTTAGTTAGGATTTTTTTTTCAGTGTGTAATTAAATTTCAATTGATCCTAGATAATTCTGGATCACAGGGTCCAGCACAGGGCTCTGTGCTCAGTACCAGCCGGGAGAGGGAGAATGTAAACCCTTCAGTGATCCAACACTCAGCTGCGAGTTCCCGACGGAAAGGCTCTGCCTGTCCCCCACCCCCGCGCACTGTTCCAGAATTTCCCAGCCCTCTTCCCCCTGAGGCCCGCGCCAGACAGAAGACACATGACCGAAAGCCATCAGCTGATACCGCTGCTCTCAGCGTTCACGCTGACTCCGGAGGGGCTGCGAGGTCGGGTGAGCCTCTCGGAGGGTTGTGAGTTACGATCTCTGAGGGCGATCGATGACCTTGGAAAGAGTAGCCTCTTCGTCATCTCTGATGAGAATCCATTTGGATCTCGGCCCATTAGAGCAGACCCCGCCCACCTGCTGGACACACAGGCTCCTCGTCAGGGTTTGCAAGAGCCTGCCGACATCTGTGCTTCTCTATGTCCAGGTGTGGCTCTGGGAAGGACCCCCCAACCCCATTTGTGCATGAGAAGGCAGCAGAAGACCTGCCAGGCTCCCGTTCCTGGCACTCCCTGATGAGGCAAGAGTTTTGACATCAGGAAGCCTGTGTGACTGCTGGCAACTGTGGAAGGGCGCCCGATGCCCAGTTGCCCTGGATGATTTCACTTGAATTATTTAAAGCGCAAGAAAAAAAAAAAAAAGAATGACTCAAATCCAAGCGGCAAAATGTCCAATGACTGGATTCTTCCTAGAGGTTCCGTCTAAGGCCATGGGAAGCAGGCAGCGAGGCCTGATGTCAACATAAAGCAGGTGAGACTTACCCATCCCCAAGAAGCCATCTGTGGCAAAGGGTCTGACCTCCAACCCCCACCTCCATGCAGTGACAAGAGCCCTAAGCACGTGCCGTGTGTAACGCCCAGTTCCCTCCCCACATGTGCACAGTCCGTTGAGATGCAGCCCGTGCACCATGGCAGACCTGCCCATGTGTGTTCTCGGGGCGTGTCTGAGTAATGGAAGCACGGGGCAGGGGCTCTGCTGGATGGCGGGGCTCGCCTCACCTACCTGTGTGCTCTTCCTGGTAGGGATCTGTAAGAAACCCAGCCTGGGGACACGGGGCGGGAACTGCGAGAAGCGCATTGTTGTCCAGCAGGCTCAACCTGCCCTCCGACCACCACAACCAGCCTGGCCCGGGCCACCTCTCTGCTCCCGTGGCAGACAGAGGCGAGAGGGAGCCATGCAGCTGACAACTCTTCCCAGAACGCTGGGGTCTGGAATTGGGGTGTTCTGTGTGGCTCCCATGAAAGGCCCCTGCACCTGCTCCTAAGCCACGCCCAGCCCTTACTCCTTCTGGAGCCCTACGGGCTGATTCGGAATCCTCTGCTAAGCCAGCATGACTTAGAAAGAGGGGAGACAGGTGTTACTACTCTGGGGTGTCAACTTTCTTTGCCGGGAAACTCCTGCCTGGGGGCTGTCCTGGATCCCCGAAGCACTGAAATCTCCCCCTCCCTAGGAGGACACCCCAACCCAACCCCCCCCCCGCAGTCAGCCTGTTCCGGCCGGGGCGCAACCTCCTCACA